CCCCGTTTTCTGGTTTTTCCCTCCTCATTTTGCCACATTTGAAATCTTCTTCCAGGGAAAGGGAAAACAAAGTGAAAAGTGTAGGAAAGTGCCATTTGATCTGTCACAGTGAGGAGTTATAAGAGGAGGTGGTGAAAGAGGAGAAGTGGAACTGGAAATTGTTCTTAAGAGAAAAAACACTAAACTCTGTTGTTACAGAACTTTAGCTTTGTTTTAGCATAAATCTGTAATATTTTCTTTTTAGTCAGGTCTATTAAAAAAGCTTATTATCAGTCATCATGTCTTTTTGGAGTTTTTTGCTTTGACGTTGCTGATCCTGGAATAGAACCACAGCAAAGTTTGGATGGAACGCATCCCTGGAGGTGGCCTGGTCCTACCCTCGACTTGAAGCAGGGCTGGCTTCAGAATTGGATCAGGGTGCTCAGGGTCAGGTTTAGAGCTCCTCGAAGGACGGACAGTTTATCACCTCTCAGGGTGATCTGTCCCAATGTTTGACTGTCCTCACAGTGGAAAATACCTTCCTTGTATTGAAAGAACATATTTACCTTTCCATTTATCCTTCCAGCTTTACAATTTGTATTTCAGATTTTAGTAACACGAGGCTATTAGCAGTTGCTTTTTGTCATCAGGTTCTGCTCACTCCTGGGCAAGCCAGATGGGAGTAGTAAGGGGAGAGTAGCCTGACAAACATGTATTTTGTAGATTTGAAGGATGGGGAGGAAGGTGTTTTTGTGCATCAGGGGTAAAAACAGCAGGTAGAGCTGCTTGATGGGTCTGCCACCATGTGTGCTTAAGCGAGCAATGAATACATTTAACGTAAGGTGATAAGAAGATCGTTAGGCTGGGCAGATAAAAATTAATTACTAGAATATTTCTGGTGAGATAATAGAAGTTATTGTTGCAGATGGTGATTTAAGACCACAAAGATTAATTATAGTTTATTAATTATTTGTAAAAATAGTTTCTTTCGTAGCAGACTTACTCATACTGCATTATTTTGGCTAACAGAAGAGTACTGTCTTTGCCACAGTGTCGGAGCAGAAAGAAGGTTGTCCTTTGTTAGGGAAGGCTTCCTAAGGGCTTCCTTTTTGCTAAGCAGGGAAAGTTCTGATTTTATTTTGCCCAGAGGTTTTTTACAGTGTTACAATATACATTGAAACCCAGTGACTCCAAGCCAAAGCTTTAATCAGAGCATGGGGTTAGAGTAAATTTTGCTTTTTTGTTTCTGCATTTTCAATCTGAGGATTGGGGCGTGGTTAGTGTCTAATCAGGTGTTTAGTGTGCTTAATAATGGTTGATATGTTTGTGTGTGTTTTAATTAGATGGATTTATGTGCTCTCTGCTTATTAACGCTATATATAAAAAACTGGAAGCATCTGAAGAACCCACTTTGATACCTAACTGATATAAAAATTCTGACTTTAGCAGAATTCAAGTACTCAGAACTCGAGACTAAGGAAGAATCCTGAAGCTCATTTTTTAGTGAAGATTTTAGCCTGGAAATGCATAATGTTTGTTCAGGGGTCATGTTTTTGACCATAGGATTTCCTGGGCATCTAAACCTGAACTCCCTGGTGTATGTGCCAGACAAGGGAGGGCTAGTGCCTGACATCTGGTGATGCTCTACTGAGGTAGAGCATTCACCAGTCTGGTGAAGTCCTTGCAGGGGAAACTTTCTGAAGTACAGAAATTGTGCTTGGAGCAGTGCAAAGCGCAAATGATGTTACCAATCTCTATTCAGAAATGTAGCTAGGGAAAAGGAGGATATTGGCATGTGTCATACCATGTCTGAACGGTTAGGGCACTCTCTGTACAAGGAAGACAGTCAGGCTCCTGGCACTGTCTTTCACATGTGATACAGTATAATGAGAAATGCATCCATGTCTGAGAATCATAGAATCATAGAATGGCCTAAGCTGGAAGGGATCTTAGAGATCATTTTAATCCAGCCTCCCTGCCACCAGGGACGCCAGCCCTCGACTAGATCAGACAACACATGGGGACTGAACGGGAAGGAACTTCTCGAGAAACAGCTGGTTGTTGCATTTTAGTCAATCTGTTGCTTTCTTGGTCTTCTGCTCAGCATCCCCTAGATTTTTCCTCTGCACCGTGACCCATCTTCAGTTACTCTGCAATGGATGGGAGAGGGCATGCTGCCACTAGATGAGTGATCAGAGGAAGCCTGAAGATGTGCATGGGTTCAAATCCCATCCTTCTGAGGATGAAGTTGAGCTGAGGTCTCCCATTTTTGAAGTGGCACAACAGCCATTGTTTCCACTGACTCTGGATGCGTTTCAGGACGCCTGAACCCTGCTCATTTAAATGCTCCTCTGTAGAAGATGGTCTCAAATCCGGGTAGACCAAAGTGTTTGATGAGTAGTGCTATGCTGGGTTTTGCAGCTGTGGGCTGGAGTCGGATCCTCCAGCCTCTGTGTTCTCGGCTGACTTCAGCCAGCCACTCACTTACTCTGTGAGTTTTGCTCTGGTGAGAACCCACCTGCAGTATTGCGTCCAGCTCTGGGGTCCTCAGCACAAGAAGGGCATGAATCTGTTGGAGCAGGTCCAGAGGAGACCACAAAAATGATCAGAGGGCTGTGATACCTCTCCTATAACCCTGGAGAAGAGGCTTTGGTGAGTCATTATTGCAGCTTTTCAATAGTTAAAGGGGCCTTACAAGACAGAGAAATAGTTTTTACCAGGGCCTATAGCAACAGAAAAGGGCTAAAGATTTTAAACAGAAAGGGTATATTTAGAGGCGTGTAAGGAAAAATTTTTGGATGATGAGGGTGGTGGGACACTAGAAGAGGTTGTCCAGAGAAGCTGTAGATATGCTATTACTGGAAGTGTTCAGCGTCAGGTTGGATGGGGCCTTAGGCAAGATGATCCAGTGAAACATGTCCCTATCCGTGTCTGAGAGGTTGGAATAGGTGATCTGTAATGGTCCCTTCCAACCCAAACAATTGTATGGTTCCATATCACTGTTTAGCAAAGCAGTTCTGCAAATGCTTGAGTTGGATTCAGTGGATTTAAAGGTTGTGTGTACTTGTAAACTTTGAAACATATATCCCATATCACTTAATAGATGTTTAAACACAGTAATTCATACCATTAATGATTAATGTTGGTAACTAGAATTCACCAATAAACATTGTATTCAAAGATTGACATTAGAAATATTTTACAGACCTTTGAAGAAAGAAACCCATAGCTCACTACTTTCCTCTGTGGCCTAGGATCCTGCAGCAGACCCTGTGTCCAGCTAGACACATTTTTGCCTAGATTCTGAAATGGGGAGACCAAGAAACAATTTTAGTGCCCCAAATCTGGGAGAAAGTAGGTGTTGCATGGGCAGGCTAATATACCGGATCACATGTCGGCTAGCCGTAAGAGTGAAGTTTAAAGATGCTGTTTTGGATTTTATATTATTTTATTTTTTTAAAAAACAGCATACAACATTTTTTATGCGTGTTCTAGAATTGCTTGGATATGTATTGTGTATATGTTTAGTGCTATTCAGTTTTAAAGAATCCCCTCTGTGTCTTGTTCATGTGTCTGCTTCTGTTAGAACTGCAGTGAAATAAAAGCTGCAGATGCTACATGCAGGTTTATTGGCTGTTACAGTGCTAGAGTCTGTGTCCTGAAGCTCCCTTGTACTCTGATGTCTGGAATTTATTTCATTTATTGAAGGAAGCTTGACCTGGTTTTCTGGGATTTGACTCTGTCTGAAAGTTTTGATTCCGCTTGAAACGAAAGGTAGAAAGTCTGGATGGGTTGGGTTTCCACCAAATATTCAGAGCAAAACCTGATGACTGGTGGAGATTCCTCAGTAATTTTCCCTGTGGAGTGGCAGGGCAAGTTCTTTAGGTTACTTGCCATTCTGACTTTATGAGATGGGGAAATACATATTTTTTAATACTCTGACTCTTCAAGTCCAGCATTTTCAAAGCAGGCTAATGATTTCAGCCCCCATCTCTACAAGGACGTTCCAAAAGGTCCAGAAGGCAACTCTCCTGTTAAGAAGTCCTGAGAGGATATACTCATCTGAGACATGACAGCAGCCATCAGTTATGAAAAAGGAAGCTGTGAAGGGAAAGAAATTAAGTAGTTTTCATGCCTATTTCAGATGGGACAAGAGGCTGCAGGCTTATACTGAGAAAGGGTGAGCTAGGTTAGACATTTCAAATCTTTGGAACTGCAAGGGTAAAATTATCCCTTGTTTGGATTGCTTATGTAGGTTATAAAAACCTCTCATCACTGGAAAGTTTTTAGAACAGATGAAACAAACATTTATCAGGAGTGATGCTGATCCTACCTTAAGGCAAGGAGTGGGCTAGAGATCTTGGGGAATCTTAAAGTTTTGTCTTTTTTTTTTTTTATGGTTCCATAAAGTAAATGTTTCTGACACTTTGAGAGGGAGTACTTGTGCTGAATACAAGCCAGCAAGGAGCAACTATTTTTGCATGTAACTACATAATACTTCTGTTCAATGCATTAGTGTTTCTGAAAAAACATATATATTATTTTTTTGCCTACAAAACTGCTCTCTCTGCTGTGGGGTTGCTTTCGATCAGCCAGTTTTATCTTGAAAATATTGATACAGAGAGGAAATGTGACAGCAATTTGCTGTTCATTTAAGCTGTATTTTTTTGCACAGATGTGTACAATGCGTCAGGAGCTTCACCTTTCCTGTGCTGCTGGAGCATATAATTTTCAGTAACATGTTCTGAATTGCTAAAAGAGAAGAAAAAGTCATTTAAATCAAGACAAATTTCAGTGTAATTTCATAGATCGCTGGAAGCCTAGTAGAATTCAGCCAGTTGTTCGGAGAGCTGTAGAGTAACTGCCCTTAAGTACTTGACCCTTGAGGAAGTACCTTTATATTTAACTTCATACCAAAATATCAATGTAAGGAAGAGGCTGAGTAGCACTTGAGCTTAGTTTTATTTATTGCCTTTAAATTGCAGAGACTCTGTTTGAGAATGTATGTAGACAGATAAACCTTTTTTTGAATCAAGGCCAAGGAAAGGCTTGAGTGAAGGATGAGCCTCTACTGACTAAGTCATCATTGTGTACTCTTCTATTTTAACCTGATCCCTTTGAGAAGCATTGGCAGGTGAACTCACCTTTCTGAAAAGAGAGACAAGAATTATCCTCTATATTTTGCCCACATGTGTGTTAGCTTGTGGCTCGCTGTGCTGCTAACGATCGCTTACTGTGCTGAAGGCAGCCTGCCTTGAAAAATCACACCTTTTTTTTTTCCTTCTTTTTTTTTTGGTCTTTTTTTTAAATTTAGATACTTGGCTGTGCTGACAGGTCTTCTGTGTTGTTGAGGCAATGCAAAGCCACTGGAAAATTGCTTTCTGCAGTATACTGGAGCACCTCTTGTGCTTAATGCTGTACTGTATACAAAGAAATATTGAGATTATCTAATTCAAACTTGTATTTTTTGACTGCTGAAGTTAGATGGAATTTGGATGTCCTAGTTTAGCTCCACAGATGCAATTAAATATCTAATTCTGTTGATTTCAGTGAAAGACAGATTCTGCCAAAGTGCTTCTGTAGGTCTGAACCTGAGCTGTGGTATTTCTGCAGATAATAACAAATGTCATTTGGTACTTCCTAGAAAATAAAATACTGTGTTTCGTCACTGATGATTTTGTTTGATTCCTCTGTTTTTTTCAGAGCCTAAACATAAAGAAACTCTTCTCCACCTTGTGATGAAATTGGGCTTGATTAAACTTTCACAGTTCTTAGCAGCCCAGCCTGGAGGGTCATCAGCATTAGCACTGCCTAATGAGGATGGAGCAACACCGTTAGATTTGGCTTTACAAAACGGGCACTCCAAACTTGTTGAGGTTTTCGCGAAGTGAGTATAATGGTTTGCTGCTCCCTTTGAAAAACTGTCGGTTAAAGGATGTGGGGAATATAGTTTTTCTCAAAACAGTTGCCTATTTTGTGTTGTTTTCTGTTGCTTTTTGCCGTTATTACCGTTTTAAGTGGTAAACTTGTATTAACAATTAAAGGAAGTTATGATTTGCATCCTTCAATCCTTCATTACATTTGCAAGTCAGTTAACAGTCAATTAAATGACAGAGGACCAGCTGAACTATCAGGTTCCTCTCCTAGCACTACTGCAGCTGAATCCTGACGAAGCACCAACTAGCAAAGATATCCATTAGAATATATAGAAATATTTATTTATAAACAGAACCATAGGACCTGACTATCACGAAACCTCAGCAGACTTTGTGACCTCTGTAAAGCTCAGGTCTGAATGAGTAAGAGAGAGTCAGCAGCAAAGCTGGTGCTGCGGCTATGACTGGTTTTGCCAGAGGGCTGTTGCACTGACAAATGACTTAAAGGACAAGTGCTTTCTGGCACGTTTTGGATTTCTGGAGTTGCCTCTGTAGAGACCTGAGGAGATGCTTGGTATGTATGTGTCCCGGGGTGCCAAACGATCAGCGTTAGACACCCTTTCTCACTGTTTTATTTTCTTTGCAAATAAAAACATGCAAGAATTGGGTTACATTTTTATTCTGGTGTGTGGCTCGTCCAGTTCTGGCTCTGTAATCCATATAGTTTGTGTAAGACTTTCCTATACTTGAGTTTAAAAAAACAACTACTGACAGGACTGGTACAGTACATTATGTTATGAATGTCTCGTTTGTAACGTACAAACAATGCTGTATTCCCTTGAGGTACTTTCTGTTTTTCACTGTCGTGGGATAACAAACCTGCTAGCTGCCTGTCATGTCTTACTGCTATATATGGCAACATTAACAGGAAAAGGTACTATTGCTAATTTGCAGCAATAAGGAAAAATAGGTATTGTCACGGCTCGCTCTTTCTGGCTTATTTTACTAGTAAGCTGCCATCTAGAGCTGACATTGTTCTTTTCCCCGCTGATGGCTAGAAGTAGCTGCGTGGTTTTAGGCCTGAATGTAGTAATTGGTAAGCATTTGTTTGCCCAGCTGTACTTCCCGTGGATGTTTCATATCTTCTGCCTCCAGTTTTTGCTGCGGGTGCGCAGGGGTCCTGACGGGCTGTGCTGACAGCGATCCTGAAACTTGCTGCAGCCGTGCTTTCCGTCTACCTGTGCGTGGAGCATCTGCTTTGCTTTAAAGACCGTGTTGTTCCAGTTTCCAGGGCAGTCACTTGCTTGACATTTCAAGAGCGGAGATCAGTGAGGGTGCTTGTGTGCAGTTTGTTCATTCATCAGGAGCTCTGACGCTGACATTTAGCCACACCGCACAGCACTTGCTGTTCTTCCGAAAATACTTCTGGGACAGATCTCTTCTTTACCAGGTAGGTGCCTATCTAGTGCAAGGCATTGTCACAGATTTTCTTCTGTGGTTTCCAGCTATAGACGTTTTAGACTGGATCCGATTTTCTCAAATAGCCTTTTAGTTTAAACTGCTTGTGTCACTAATGGCCATTGTAATTGCATTGTAACTGTTGTGGGCTTCTATTTTGTGTAAGTGTAGCACATCTTATATGTGAAGTTAAAGGGTAAAAGATGTTGAGAACTTTAGCAAAGCCTCCTTTATCTCCTAAGCTGGTTTTGAATCATTGTGAATATATTTCCTTGAAATCTCAGCGTATTTAGTTGCATTACCATTGTTGATACTTACTTTAAAATACTTAATTTAGTTCCATTCTTCTGTGTAGTGGTGTAATGCCTGGGAGCCTTTATCAAGAGCCAACTCCAATTTTTTACAGCAGGATTATGGGGTACAAGCTTTTGCTACAGAGTTTAGTTGTAGTGTGGTGTGTCTTGTTTTACTTATTTTACTGGAGCACTGCTGTGATCATGTTCTTCAGGGTGTCTCTCAATTTCAGTAAAGTAACGAGGAGAACACCTGAAAACACAAGTTTTTTAATAGCAGCGTAAGTGCTCACATTTTTAAATTGAGACTGCATAGCTTTATAAAACTACTGAACTACGAACACAAAAATAGGCTTTTTTTCTGGTTTTAAAATTCAGGTTTTTTGTTTTCCATGCTTAAGGTTTCCTTATTTGTGTACTGATTTTCCTTGAGTTATCTTTGTTGCATTTTGCATTACTTTTTAACTGCAAATGTGATCCGTATATTATATTTAACACAAAAACCTAAGGTGTGATGTATTGTGTAGTCCTTACGTACAATCTTGTGTAACTACACTGCCGAGATTTTTATTTGTTCAATACAAAGAAGTTATTCTGCTTTTGTAGTTTGCAGAATACCTACAATTTGTGTGTAGTTTTTCCATGGAAACAATAGTAAACTCAGTAGCAAACCCAAGACTGTAATGAAGAATGCATTGTTATTTATATCATTGGCTTTTTCTTGCGCTCATCAAATCCCTGTTCTTCTGGTCTTTGAAATGGAAAAAGAAACTGTGGTATGTTAGATATTTGCATGGCTCTTGGACACAAAGACTCTTAAAGGCTGCAAAATTCTACACTTGGTATATTCAGCAAAAAGCCTACTACACTTCATTTGTGGGCTTCCCTTGTGCTCATTCCTCTGGTTGTATCAGGCTAGATTCTCCTTTTCGGGGACCCTATTCCCCCTTAACCAGCATCAGTGTCACACTACTTTTAATAAAGCAGAAATGAGCCAGGATAATAGGGAAGATAACATGATTTAGTTAATTTTCTATACACCAGGCATCATCCTGAAGTGTGTATATGTATGTGACTATGTATTATGTCCAAAAGATAAGGTAAAATAAATTTTCTTTGTGTTGCAAACAAGGACTTAGTTGAATTCTAAGCATGAGGTAGGCACTAGAGATTTCGTTATTTCAAGGTATTTTTAAAATAAGAGGTAGAATTTGTTGCCATAAGTAACAGAGTATTAAACTTGTCTACAGCAGACTGTACATCTAGTTTCTTGTATCTTGAAACTGCAGAAGTAACCACATTGCAGGCTTATGTCAAGAAGACATGGACTAAAGAGGAGCTTGGCTTGGTTATGTTTGCATGCAGTGTCGGATTTGTGTGTGTGAAATAGATCACTTGGGGAGCAGCGCAAGCTATTTTTGCATTTGTCCACGCAAGAAAATCCCAGTCTTTCTCAGATGTGTTCTTCAGTCCTTGGTCTATGGGTTCTTTAAGGCCCTTAACTATTCCTTACAAGTCTAAGAGAGTAATGGAAAAGTTAAAACAAACAACCTGTTGGTAAACTGCAGTTAACCGTATGGGAGCCATACTTCACTGGAAACCGTCAGGGGCTCTGCAGAGCCCTAAGCAGCGTGTGGAGATGACCCTGTCTCACTTCCTGGAGGCAGGGCAGCCAGTGCAGGGGAGAGGTCCTCTATGAGAGGAAAATAAATCTGGAAACTAGTGGACACATGTGAAATGGTGTCAGGGTAATGAAAATAGAAGAAAAAAAAGAAGGACAAATCATCCAAAACAATTAAGATAATTTATAATAATGTAAGTATTTTTGTTGCCTGGTGGTGGACCCATCTGTATTTTCCCAAGGAGGAAGGGAAAGTTTAGGTTGGGTATGAGGAAGCACTACCTCACGGAGAGGGTGCTCAGGCACTGGGGTGCACTGCCCAGGGAAGTGGTGGAGTCACCGTCCCTGGAGGTGTTTAAGGAGAGGCTGGATGTGGGACTCAGGGCCGTGGTCTGGCTGATGTGATGGTGCTGGGACATAGACTGGACTTGATGATCTCAGAGGGCTTTTCCAGCCTCAACAATTCTGTGATTCTGTGAGTTGACTTATTTCTTCCTACTAGATGTGGGAATCGGAAGGTGTCTTGCACATCCACAGATGAGTGTTGAAAAACGTAACTAGCCTCACTGGGGATATAGCTGGCTTGACAGCTGCATGGCTTTCAAAACAGTTTGGTTGCAATATTCTGCCTGGAGTCATCCTGGATTTTTTTCTTTTGCATTCAGGTTGCCTTTTCTCTGTTTGCCACTCTGGTAGATGACAAATACACAGAGAACCTAAATAGAGGGAAAGACTAGAAGGAAGCAGTTGTAGATGAAACTAGGCAAAAGGAGACATACTCTCCTGCACCCACTTTGCTTCTAAATTTTGAGGGTAATTGCTGAAGTAAGGGACTGAGTCTTAGCCCCATCTTCATTTTGAGCAGAACTGATACAGACAGTGTGTGTTTCTGAGCAAGGGATCAGCCTGGCAAGGGGCCACAGATGCCTGCCAGTCTGGATTTACCGTGTAGTCAGCGTTTGGTCCTGGTTTAGGCTCTTTGTATTGCCCGTCTGTCAAAATTGCTCCCTTTGTAAGGATGTTATCAAGGTCAGCTGGACTTCTGAACTGAGCTGTTGTGTAAAGCTGCTGCTCTGCTTTTCTCATAGAGAAGGTTATAAATGAAGTACATATGTTAAATCTGATCCTTTAGATCCCTTATGTATTGTAAGCAGCAGGTAATTTCTCTCTGTAGTTGGGAAATATTTCATCAGTTCCCCTCCTGAGGAGTCACAGTCAGTTTCCTCTGGAGGTTAACTGATAAAATGCTCTGTGGGTTTTCTATCAATCATTTTAGTATTAATGTATTCTTTTGCTAGTCTTTGATACTGTTTTTGAGTTTTCAGATAAATGTCTTGGACATCAAATACAGTTACTGTCATTTTGATTTTTTTATAGAGTATTAATTCAAACCAAGTTGAGACAGTGGAAGGTCCAAAAATGCCCTGCAGTACAACAAGCTCTGTAGAAGGTACAGTTTTTTGTTCCATAATGTTGCAGTCTTTTTAAAAGCTCTGGAAAGTTGGCACAGATTCATACATTATTTATTCAGGAAGATCATGTTTCATATTGCCTTAGAGACCTGTAACCAGACAACAGTGAAATATGCAAGTCATACACTATGAGAGTTGTGTAAATTGTGATACTCCCTACAGAGCATTGGTTTTCCAATGTTAGACTAAAGTTGTTCACAGAATATTTATGGTAACTGGAAAAGCCTTAGTAATGTTGTAAGAGTAAGAAAAACGCCAGAAGGTTCCAGGAGAGGGCAGTGTTTAACTGAATGAACGCCCCAGCCAGTAAATTGCAGTAAAGCCAAATAACTCAATAAAGATAGGAGCAGAGTAACGTTTTGTGTGAACTGTTTGGGATCCAGCCCAGACTTATTAATGTGGAAAAATTCCCGTGTGTTTCAGTTAGACATTCAATATTTTGGTGAGTGGTTTACCTCTATAAGGATTGTGAGACCGTGCTCACTGGTGGGAACAGTCTTTCATTGCCAGAATACATCCCTGTGTACCTTAGACAAGGGCCTCTTAGAGCTGAAACGAAAATCACGAAAAAAGGTCATTCTTCAGCATCATAAGGATGACACTTCAGGCATTCACCTATGATCATTAGGAGTTGATTAAAAGTTTTCATCAGTTGGCCATTTGCTTATGTGGGTGATGCTGTGTATATGTATGAAGCCACAAGCTGAGAGCTGTGCACTCTGTGGGAGGCTCAGTCTTTCTCTGTGTGTGCAGAGGCGACGCTACTGAGGGCAGGAGAAACGCCAGGACCAGCATAAACTGCTGACAGCATCAGGATCAGACTGAAGGAAAGGAGTCAGACAGCAGTTACAGGCGGCAGTAGCTAGTAACTTTAAATTAATTGGTAAAATGGGGACACAGTTGTTGTGTAGGTCATGTTTAAACATGTCGGGTGCTGCTCCTAGTGCTGGAAAAGGAGTTTTATACCCAACGTCTCCAGCAGTGTTCAGGAAACAAGTGTTGTGCCATTGGAAAGTAAATTTGCAGAGGAGCGATACGCAGTTGTTAGCTGTTGCAAACTATGCACACGTGTTACTGTAAGCGGCAATTTATAGTACAACATTTGCGAATGAGTTTGATGACGCAATGTGCAAATGCACTGACTCTGGGTATTCATCTGGGTGTTGTATTCTGACTAGGGTGATCTTTGTGCTGCTCCTTGGGGATAGAAATTGAATGGCCTGGGTTGGTAGCACTATATGCAGCAGCAGCTTGGGCAATACAACTTCTAGGTGCTTTGGTATTTTCTGCTAAAAATGGCTTTAATTCAGGCTGACTTGGCACAAGCAGACAATGAACATCAGTGCATATTGGTTGCCTAGAGGGAGAATCACCAGTCCAGAAGATCTAGACTCACTTTAAATTCTACTTTTAAAGCTTCTTGTCCCCTGCTTATGTCAGAAACGTTCGGCATATATTGGCATAGGCACACCTGCCTATTTGTGTTTTCAATGGAAACTACACTTTTGTGCCTTTATCAGGGTCGTTTTATGCTTTTTAAAAAAAATAAATAATAATCTCATTTCAGTTCAACAGCAAAAAAAGTATGCTACATTTTGGTAGTATCCTGGATTTATACAAACAAATTGTACAAACAAATTACTTTCTGTGTTGTCTGTTTGTAGACATGAAGAGCCTGTTTGTATGCTGATGAGCAGCGAAGTGTTTTAATCTTCTTGGATTTTCATATTGTTATTTTTTACTACATTTCTATAAATCAGAGTTTTTTGTTGGCCTCCATTTGCTAGTGTTCAGGAGACCAAAAGACGTTTTTCAAGATTGACTTAAAATTGTTGCTGCTAGATGCAGAAATGTTATGAAATCATTGTCAGACCACTTTCTACTACATTCTCAGTTGCATTCCGTGAACTTTATAAAGTGACTGCTAAGCTCAGGACATGAATTTGACACATTCATGTAATAAAAGGATCTCCCTCAGATTGTAAAACTGCTGCCATTCCAAAATGTAGTAACTACCCACTTCAGGATTGTCCTGGTTTGAGCTAAAGAGAACTAGTTCAGTGGTTTTACTTCTCAGCTCAGTCTCTTCTAAGAGGCTGCACTTTCTGAAGTTAGCAGTGTGTTTTTGCAGACAGTGCCTGCTACTGGGAGTGATAACGCCTGGTGTTTATAGTTAGTACGAAGGATTGGTATGCAGAAAGGCCCTTGCTTATACTTGCTCTCATAGTAACCAAGGTCACTGCTGGATCATGTGGGGTGCACTGCGGTGCTGGGAAGAAAAGGGTCACAAAAAAGAAAAAAGTTTCACCTCTAGGGTGGATCAGGCAGGATAGGTGACCCAAACCCGACTAACAAGAGTATTCCATTCCATACACGTCATATTCAGTGTAAATCTGAGGGATCACAAGGGTCAAGCTTCAATGGCCTGTGTACAAGGAGGACTCTGTCCATTCTTGTGCCCTCGATCCCGATCCTGAGTTCTCAAATCCAGCTCCCGTATCCACCTCCTGTCTGCTGCTGACCCTGGGGCCACCCTGGTGCCACCTGCTCCGCAGCATCAGTAGGGATTGCTGTTGGTGGGTGGTGGGGTGGAGCTGGGTTTGATGCTGGTTTTACATGTATTTGTATATATTATTTGTATATATTATTTCTTGTTTTCTTATTAATGCTATTATTATTAAACCTGTGGGGTGGTTTTTTTTGTTGTTGTTTGGTTGATTTTTTTTGTTTTGTGGGGTTTTTTAGGTCTGTGAGCTCCTCTGCATTATTCCATTTCCCTTCCCTTTTGAGGAGGGAGAGGGATTATTAGAGAGCATTTGTCCTCCATTTAGTGGCCGTTCCAGCTCTAATGCTTGATGTGCGTCAGCCTAAAGTCAAGATCAAGAGACTTTTAAAACTGAATGCTATCAGAAGTCTTGAGCTGTCGTAGCGGTACATTGCTTCTTATGAAATGCAATCATATAAAACAGTGGGTTGGTGTAAGGTGATGTTGCTGGCTTAGCAGTGAACCCTCCATGGCAACTTAATTAAATTAAAATACATGGAGTGGTATGTTATTATTCAGTGAGAATGCAGAATGAAAGGTGAAATAGTGGTTATCTTAGCTAATTCTGTAGTTTGTGCTTTTTTTTTCCCTATTTTCTGACCTTGAAATTCCATATCCATAAGTTGACTGAATACTGTTACCTGGAGGACAAGCCATTTGCTTCTACAGAATATTAGGTATAGAGCAAACAGCTTTTTATTTCTGAGAATTGTGAGGCTGTATAATGATAATTCCAATTGCATGACAATGTACTGTAAAAATGATTTTCCCACTGAAGCCTTTAAAGTAAGTTTCTGCAGTTACAGAAGAAATAGTCTGTTCTTTCTAGCTGAGAGGTGATGCCTGGGATGCTTAGTTTGATGGCACTGGTGATCTTGTGCTCGGTGACTGGACTCTGTTAGAATGCACGGAGAGGTATACATGTGACTGCCGCAGGAGGTTTGTTCAGGAAGGTGGAATTAAAAAAAATTAATGATCAAGATACTGATCAGCATAGACCCAGTCCTGACTCCTGTCAGTGTCCAGAGGCACTGCTGAGGTCAGGGACGACAGGCACACTGATAGCAGTGGGCTCATAATTGCCTCCCAGCACGTTGTTGGGCAGGGCCATTGTTGCTGAAGGTTGTTCTGTTAGATAATACACAGCTGTGTTTGAATTGTTTTTCCGAAGATATATTGATACAGCTCTTTAAAAAAAAAGAAAAATAAAGAGAGTATAGACTTTGTGCAGTGCCAAGAAAAGTCAGAGGTCCCATACTTATTTTAAATATTTGCTGCAGCTGGAGAATGGAGAGGGAATCGTGTATCTGAGAATAGATGTAAACTGTGATTTGAAAGGTTCAGTGTAAAATGAAACGTATTTATCAGCATAACTCTGGCTTTGTAAGTATTATTATTTAAAATATATTTACTAAATAATAATGTTGCTGGAAGCCTGAGTGATGCTGATGTTCATCTGCATTCCTGTAGCTAGACCACTTCTCTCTGCTGTTTGACTGTAATCCTCGAGGCTGTGTTTGGGCAAAGCTTGCAAACTGTGGGCCTTGTTTTGCATATGCTCTCTCCTTCCCTATAGCCTGAAAAAGAAACCACGTTAAAAAAAACAACAAGACAGAAATGAGCTTTTTTTTTTTGCTTTTGAGGGGTGAAGGTGCAAAGTCTCATTTCAGAAAATGCGTGAAAACCCCGCAGAAGAAAAGCAGAGCCCAGCAGCTCCGCAGAGTTGTTGCGAGCACAGTGCTAGAGCTGTTGATTTTCTGAGCATGTGGGGGTTAATCAGCAGCTGGCTGACAAATCGACGTGCTGCTTGCCGAGCCTGAACATAACTGTGACAATAACATAGCACTTGTTGTGCATCCAGCTCGCACGCTGCCCACGGGAACGCTGCAGTGGGGAGATGCATGGGCAGCCCATGTCCATTGTTCTGGCTCGCCTGCCTGTTTGCCTGCTCCTTGTGCCCCCCCACCCTCAACTGATAAAGGAGAGACACCAGCAGCACAAACCAAAGCAGACCCAAACTGAATTTGCTTGCTATTAAATCAGGAATCTTTGCTTTTACAGGTTCTGTGAACTTGGCGTCTGACCAGTTGTCCCAGGATGATGCAAAGGTACAGATTTATCCTTACACAAATAGCTAAGTTTCGTTTAGGTTTTGAATCAGCAAGCTCTGCTTGGCTATCTGAGCACCTCCCAGAACTAATAAATAAATAAATAAGATGACTAATGTCTGTCAGACAACATTTCCTGTCTGTTCCTATCCTGCGGGAATTGTTATGTGTGTAGATGATTATTATTTGAAGGAACCTGTTATGTGGTTGTGGCCCGGAAAGCTGGGTTGGAGAAGCATCTCTGCTTTTGGACCAGGAAGCTTTTGTGTTCCTGGTGAGCCTTAGTGCCTTCAGGGTGTTTGTAGCTCAGCTGCCAGTCTTAGGGGAGCACAGCCTGTCTTGCAAAAACTTCATCCTTGAGATGGCATGATTCATTACATCTGAGGAGTTCTGAGAGAGACCTTCTGTGAGTCCTTAATGCGACCTGGCTGGGAAAATGCTTCATGTAAAAAGCATTGCATTTCCCATTGTCTTCTGTGTGCAGATATCTAACAGCTTTTGGGGAGGACCAGTACTTGTGAGAGGTCCCATAGACAGTTGTATTTTACCTCTCATTTCTCTTCTGCTTTTTATTTGTAGGTATCTGTTTGCAAAACCAGAAAATCATTGTCTTGGGTTTTTTTATCACCTTTTAAGGCAGGATCTTGATTATTAGCTGAATTGGGTATGAAGCTAATGTAATGTTTTGAGTTCAGAGAAACAAAATTTGATAAAATCTGGCAAATCTCATAAAGGTAATTATCTTCTCAATAGCCAATGACTACTGATTTTTTTAAATAACATTTGGATTTAGTGGAATGTTTTACTGCCACTTCTGTTAGATCATTATTATAGAAGTGATGACCTCTTTGAATTGCCAGCTGTACAGAAGATTGACCCTTTGTTTGGGATTCACGTTTTGCTATTGTAATCTATGTCATCTCAGAATTGTATCTGTGCAGTATGCATACATTTTGAAGTCTATGTTGAAAAATGTATGTTGGGGCAGAGTGCTGCAGCTCACAAGTCTTGCTGTGGAGAAAAGATTCTGGTACCATATTCACTGTGTCTTGTATTATCTAGTAGAAAGACCGTAGCTGAATCTACTGACCTGTGATATTTCTATGAGTATTAACAGCTCAAGCATTAGAGAAGGAGGCATCTTACAAATGTAGTGCTCTTTTCTCCAAAGCATTGCATGTGGGCTAATCAGGGCACAGTTAAACTTTGTAAGAGAACAGCAGACTGAAAACTGGAGTTCACATAGCAAATGAGATGTAGTTTTGTCTCTTCTTCGACTATGTTTAGAGTTTGAACCTAGAGGGTTCATTTGCATATCTTGGAGTCTGGGAGTACATGCAGTATTTACGGTATTTATTTAAATGGTTAAAATGAAGTCACTGCTGCTTGATAGTGTTTGAACTGAAATCTGAACGCCTAAAGCATCAATGCAGCTTTTTATCTTCAAAGATATAGCTCAAGTTATCTCATTCTAGCCTTTCCTAGACTCGGTGACTCCTGAAGAAAATGAAGATCATGTCCTGTTGGGTATAGGTAAGAAAAAATTTGTCATTTTGACTTCCTGAAAGCTATGGGTATATACTGTGATGCTGAATACACACAAGGCAGTTTCTTTAAAAGTGGTGAAGGTCATTGACATTGCAGCCTAGCTTGGCAAAAGATCAATTAGTTATATCTGTGTCAGAGAGAAAGCCTCTTTCAAAGCGTCTCTACACAGGTGGTATATCCAGCAGTATCCTGATACCTGTGGGAATATAATGGAAGATTGGCAAGGATCTGGGCTTCGTGTGCTTGACAAGCAGCACACCCTTGCCTAAGATAACAGAGGCCTGGGACAGATGCGGGGGCATCTCTCACATCCCTGTCCTGCTGCGGGAAGTAACAGAGCAAAGCTGTCGTGTGAGTCCTGGGAACTCAGACGGAGCAGCAAGTAAAACATAACAAAGCAGGGGGTTCAGTGCCCCATGCTTTCCAGAAAGAGGAGATCTCCTTGGGCCTGTGCTGCTGCTCGTTTTGCTGCTCATGTGGTGGCTGCCTGTGTGCCTTTGCCTGGAGGCTGCTGCAAAGATTCTCCAGATTCTCAGGCTCCTTGCATTTGAGCAATGGTTTGCGGTTGTTCCTGTGTCCTGCCTGTTTCAGCCCCTACAATACCCTAGGATTTTTCAGTAGTGTATTAGCTATTGTAGGAACAATCATCTTGAAAATAATTTATGACAGAGCCAACATATGTGACTGAAGATGAAATGAAGCATGTAGAAAAGTTTAGATGCCACCGAGGTGAGTTGTGGGGCTGGTAGGAGAACATAGCCGGTAGCACTAGAATGGTACACTCAAATGGCAAGGTGAGTATTTCCAAGTTTGGGAAAAGCTGCAAGGAAAATGTGCGAACATGGGCTCATGCAAAGCTAAGGAAGACCAAAAAAAGACAAGGAACTTGGCTCTGCCAGTAGGAGCTGCTGTGCCAGGTGGTGGGGTTGGCATCACTTGCCTGTGGTCCAGTGCTGAGCTCAGAAAGAGCAGCCCTGGTGGTGTCATTCAGACAGCCCATATGCAAACTTCGGTGGCTGCAAAATGAAGAGTTGCTCTGTGTATGTGGAAAGGGAGGGGATATATGTGCATGAATGGGAGCAGTATACGTTGGAGGGAAATGAGCTGACATAAACTCAGAGACACAGTTTTAAGAGAAGAAGCTGGCAGATTAACATAATATACCAAATTATACCAAATGCCTGTTTGTCCACCATTTAATCATGCTTGACTCACTCTCCCATACAAGGAATATGAGATCTGCATAAGGGAATTGGAGTAGTAGCAAAAATGTTAATATTCACAGTTATCCTGACTTTAGTACTTTTGAGCATAGGACAGTGTAGCTGTCCTTGTCTTGCTCAGAAATGCAGTGCATGTACATGAGATGTTAATGCCCATATGCACAAATCTGTTTTGTCAAGTAAGACTGAAGTGTTGGACTGTTTCTTAGCATAGGAGGGTGTGGAGCCATTGGGGAGTGATTATGGTTTGCTAATCTGAAGCTACATCTGCTTCAGTCTCTGCTCTAGTTTTACCATCTGGAAGGAACATAAGGTGGCTTAAAAGCTGACGGAGTGGAAGTTCTCCACCCTGAAATTATATCTGGTATTTCTTTTTCTGACCCTTGAAATGCCTTTTCCTTCTAAGGCATAGTTCGCACAGTGCTGCTTGTGACAGCTGGAACAGGAGCCAGGCCCTCTGGCTTCAGACCAGCTCAGTCTCCTCTCTGATGCTCGGATGGGCAGCTGCAGCAGATCCCGAATCCTCTGCAGGGAACAAACAAGCAACTTTGGCCATGGTTCATAGTGTTAGGAGTGATAGGATGTAGATTCTTAGAGGAGATTTTGGGTCAAAAAAAAAAAAGGAAAAGGTGAATTTGCCTACAACTTGTAACAAGATTTAGGTACTTAAAATTTGATTTAAATATATTTTCTTTGGTGTCTTATATGTGTATAAAGTAAAATTATAAATATGAATATAAATTTGTAGATATACACATATCCATCCATATACACATGTACCTAAATCCCTTTTGTTCTAGACACAGGCTCAGTTTTTATTAAACTAAGAAAAATTCCCTGTTGTACATTTTATCTGAAAAAGAATCAACTCTCCCCAAAATTCTAATTACCTTGTAGTACGTTTAAAAAGTTGGCTTGTTTGTGCAGAAGCTGCAGTGAAATCATTCTTGCTTGTTTCAGAAGTAAGTCGCTGTAGCTGAGAATTTGGTTGCCCTCTCTAGGGACTATATCATGGACTTGCTGCCAGCTGCACTGTGGGCTTTGCTTGCCCATCACCCAGTTGTGTACTCAAGTTGGCTGAGGCACTGGTAACATAGACATCTGATGGGATTTTGCCATTGACCTCAGCAGGGCCTGGAGGGGCTGAAGTACAGGCTGGAGAGTGAGTGGGTAATACAGTTTGCAATAAAATGTGGAAGTGGGAAGGAATGAAGAAGGGTATAATTAGAATTTGATGAATACTGGAAGTTTATACATTGCCTTAAGATGATTTTATTAGTTTATTTGAATGTAAAAATCAATGTACGTTCTAACCTGACTCATATAACCACATTGCTAAATATCATAGTTTTATTACCAAAGATTGTTTAAAACTATTTTAAAAAACTTGTTTGCTTGGCAGTGTTGTTAAATGGCGATGTTTTTGGCAGGAAGAGCACACAGTGGGGCATAAAGAGAAAAATGAAAATGGTTGTCAGTGGGGGAGAGGAAGAGGGAAAACATCTCAGGGAGGTTGAGCGCAGAAGAATGAACAGAAGCGAGCAGACTCTGGAATCTCACTAGGAAGTTGGATGCATAAATCAAAGAGGACTTATAAGAGCAAGAATGTGAGTGTTCTTTGAATGGCTACAAATTCTCCCACTTCAATTTCTGACTTCTTTTTCCACGTGGTTCTTTCTTTTAGAAACCTTTACCAAAAATCAGTCACATCATGGAATGGTTTAGGCTGGAGGACACCTTTAAAGAAGCAGTGGCTCCTGGAAGGGCTCTGCTATTTCGGCTCGCTGTTTTCTTCCCCAGCCTTCACTTTCAAGCATATTGACCATTCTGGCTCTTTACCCACACCTAGCAAAATTTTGAAAGTATCTTTGCAGGGTGCTTGCAACACGTGGTGGGATGCTAAAAGGGTACCAACTGTCCCTGCTCCCTGTATTCTTCATCTTTGGATCGGGACCTGGCTGCCTTAGGCCCTGATTGAGTCTTGTAGTTTAATTTTGAGAATTGCAGTTCAATTTTTTTTGTGCACAAGGCTTCTCGTCCTTCAGAATTGCTGGAGAGTCCCTGGGCTCCCACCTCTGTGAGTGTCAGGGTGGGATTGGACCAATAAGAAGCCACATGAACTACAGATGGTGGTTTTGGGTTTGCCATATTCAGGAACTGAAGGAATAGGAGTAAACTGTGGGTCACAACAGGATACTGGACCAGGCAGAACAGGGAGCTGTGTGAAGGCTTCTGAGCTCATTGCTAGTCACACCTGCCAATTTTCTTCCCCCTTCTCTCTCTCCCCTAGAAATTGTTAGGGATCTCATTTGAATTTACAGAAGAAAAAAAAAGTATTTTTTTTCATTGAAAGAAAACACACTGTAAAGATTGAAAGACAAAAACAATACCCAGTTGGAGAGAGTGAATGAAAGAAACAAAATGGAAGGCAACAAAAAGGGATTTTTTTTTCCCCTTTCAATATTAAGGATATGTATTATTGCCAGACATTGTCATCCTCAGAGTCAGCAACCCTGTACATTTCGGAAGAGAGTCTAGGAGGTGACAGCTGAATGCTGTTACTGTTGGGCATGTGACAGTGTTAGCGGGGCATGTGTTTTAAAACATTCGTAATTCTTTCCTGTTTTGCATAGCTGGTTTAGAAGGAGGATGTTCACAAGGCCACTTATAAAGCTGCAAAAGTTTCTCTTTTCCAGTAAGAAAAATCTAACCTCCAGTTTTTCTTGCAAGCAAATATAGTTTGTTTGGTTTTTTTCTTCTTCTAAACTTCAGGAAGACAGGATGTGAATTTTTCAGAATATTTTCCCTGCTCTCCTAGTTACAGTGCCAGTGACCCAGTGGTGTCTGTCTAATCTGTTCTGTTTGCACTGCCAGTGGTGAAAAAGTATTGCAAGCCACGTTTTGCATTTTGAGAGATAAATATACTCATGCCAAATTTTTGGCAGTTCGCTCTCTGTGACCAGGCAGCTAGAGCCTGCCCTTTGATTTTCATAGCTCCCCAGAAATGCCAGTTTAACCATAGATCAGTCTGAGGAACATAGTGATCTTCTCTATGTAAACGGGTAGGACTGTACTATAATCTGTAAAAAAAAAATCTGCTTTCAATATTGCTGTTTTCTTCTTCTTCTTTTTTTTTTTTTTAAAATTAGATTTCCTTACAGTGATTGTTAAGACTTAAAAGTTGGCTTTTTTTAAGATAGAAGAACATGTGGTCTTGCTGTCTGGAGTCCCACCTTTGTGAAGTTTTTGTTAGGTCTGTGAAATGATTAGGTCTTCTTATTACAGTCATATCTTTTGCTCTTTTTTTAGTGATAGATAAAAGTGAAAGCTGTGTGTTAAGTGTTGCCTGTCTGAGACAGTTACAGAGTCCTTTGATTCAAGTTATGCCCATGCTTTCTGTTTGTGGTAATTTTTATCTCTTCCTGACACCTTTCAATCCTTTCTCCTGCATATGCTTTGAGAAAGGTTGGATGATCCAGCTGTAGCATCTCTAGTCCAGGAGTTGCAGACCTTTGCTTCAGTTTCTCTCCTTAAGGAATTTACAGCAGGACCTTGGGCATGTCACTTATCTTTCCTCTGTGTCTCAATTTTTCATTTAAAACAAGGAAGACCATAGAGAGTGAGTTGAGAAGGAGACACAGTACTTGGATGGATTGGGGATGTGCAAGTACTCGGCCAAAGAAGTTTTAGAAGCTCGGTTTGTGGTAAAGGAAGCTTTTTTAAAAACTCATTTTTAGTTGAAAGATGGGTGGTCTGAAAAAT